GAATTTATTGTGTATATCTGCTGTATGCCAAACATTATTGTGGATGTTTATACCAGGGTTCCTAGAAATAATTAAATGTTACTCTTTTTTACATTATCTATTTACTTGTTTTTGTTCTTTTAAACTTATAGTTATATTTGTTTCTTTTCAGATTTGGAAGAACAATATATAATTTTAATTTTCCATAATGGCCTCGATCATCACTTCAATATAATATTTGAAAATATTATTAATGACATTGGTATAAAGAATAATATTTCCAATTTTTTTGCAAAAATCCCCTTTGAAGAAGCCAATAGCAGACTTGTTGCCTGTACAAAAACCTATGAAGAAAGCACCAAAGGAAGTTGTATGCAAAAAGAAAATAAAACTAAAACTGTAATTATATTTTCAAGTGTCTTAAAGCAATTTTAAATAATGGATAGTTTTAAAGAGAAATGTTTTATTACAGTACAGCTTGTTTCAGTGTTAAATCTTGAAATTCCATTTCAGAATTACTTGCTTTTATATGAGATTTGTAAACTGTTTTGGGTCAAAACAGTTGTGGTAAGTGTGAATGAGAGTACATGATACAGGTCTCAGAAGTATTTTTTTGTTCTTTTCCACATTCCAGTCTTACCTTTACTTTTTCATCTTTTTTTCTCTCTTTTCCTTTATACCATGTTCCCAACATACACACGCACATATTGCTATATTCAAATTGATTGTTACCCTTTGTCTTGGGTTTGAAGGAATTTTGGTCCCTGGTGTGTTGCATGTTTATGTGTAACATAGGCAGGCATATGTGGTTGAAAACTTGGGAAGTGAAAAATACACAATGTGGTTGAAAACTTGGGAAGTGAAAAATACACAACTATTTGACCTTGACTGTCAAAATACATATCCAATTCTACAGTAATTCCTTGTTGTTCATGCATTTAGGAAACTTTGTTTGTTTCTTTTTGTTGGTTTTGTTTTTGAAACAGAGTCTCACTTTGTGGCTCTGGTTAGAGTGCCGTGGTGTCATAACTCATAGCAACCTCAAACTCTTCAGCTCAAGAGATTCTCATGCCTCAGCCTCCAGAATAGCTGGCACTACAAGTGCTCACCACAACACCCGGCTATTTTTTTTTTTTAGAGACAGGGTCTCATAATTGCTCAGGCTGATCTAGAGCTCTTGAGTGTAGGCAGTCCACCCACCTTGGCCTCCCAAGTGCTAGGATTACAGGCACAAGCCACTGCACCCAGCTGTATTTAGGAGACTTTGAAACTCCCTGAACCCAAGACCACGGTACTACTGTAATGTTAACTGGTAATGCACCTATAACTTTAAAATTCTGTTCCTTAACAGAGCAGCTAAATTTTGCTGGCCTAATTTATTGGGACTAAATTTCTCATCTTGGCTACAAACTTGGAAATATGGCCATTCAAGGCACAATCTTAGCGATCATTGAGCAAGACCTCAGCAGAGAACTGCTATTCAAGAGTTACTGGTTTGGGAAGAGAGCAGGAGGAGGAGAAGGACTCTTTCTCCTCCTTTTGCAGAGTTGGCTACTAGAGATAGTGTCAAAGGCAGAAAAAAGCAGCCAAAGCCATAGGGCACCTGGGATGGACTCAGGTTTCAGTGGAAGGCTCTTCTCTCCAAGGATCCTGTTTCATATAGCTGAAGCTGCCTGGCCAGTGTTCCCTGAGCCTCTGCTTCTATACTTTATGGATGGCTGAGCCATGGAACTTAGGGGACCTCTACTGCTGGGAGAAAAAAAACCACTTTGGTTTTTGGAAAGGTTCTTTGAATCTTGGTAGCATAAGCTAATTTAATATGGATAGTTGAGATCTTAAAGACTGGAAAACCATTTTATATACGTAGAGTATCACTAGTTTTGCCCGTTTCTTGTTTGGTTTTTTCCTTCAGTTTGTTTATTTTTTGTTTTGATAGACTTTTCTTCGGTTGTCCTGGTTAAGATGCAGTGGCATCATCACAACTCATTCCAACCTCAAAGTCCTAATCTCCTGTCTCAGCCTCCCCAGTAGTTGGGACTACATGCACATGGTATCTTGTTCTTGCTAGGGCTGGCTTCAAGCAAACCTCATGCCTTGGCCTCACAGAGTTTTAGGATTACAGGCATGGGTCACTCTGTCTAGACCTATTTCTTGTTTTTAATTAATTAATTAATTAATTAACTTACTTATTTTGAGACAGAGTCTCACTATGTTGCCCTCAGTAGAGTGCTATGGCATCACAGCTCACAGCGACCTCCAACTCCTGAGCTTAAGTGATTCTCTTGCCTCAGCCTCCCAAGTACCGGTAGCTGGGACTACAGACGCCTACCACAAAGCCCAGCTATTTTAATCTTTCTTTAATTCAGGACTTTTTTTTTTTTTGGCAGGTTTTGGCCGGGCTGGGTTTGAACCCACCACCTATAGCATATGGGGCCGGTGCCCTACTCCTTTAAGCCACAGATGCCACCCCTTAATCTTTTTCATTTGAAAAGTGATCTTGCCCTCAGGCTTACTCTTTTCATTGAAAATTTTTCCAATACTCCCACTCGCAGCCAGCAGGCAGCAAGGCGGAGTGGGCTGCAGCACCCCTCACCTTCCCTGGTCAGGCCCCAATCCAGATTTTCGCCAGGAACCCGGGCCTTGGACTGCCATACGGGCCGCCCTCCACAGTTACGTCTGGTGCGGGCCGCTATGAGAGTAGTGGCATGCTCTCAGGCACAGTTTCGGCCTCTTCCTGCAGGGATTGCTCGGCGGCGTGGCCTTCAGCACAGCTGATACTCAAACGTTTCAGAGAACCAAACCATGACAGGCGTCAGTGGAGGATATGTTTTTTTAAAAAAAAGAAAGAAAATTTTTCCAATTAACTTTGTGAAAATTTTTCCAATTGACTTTGCTTATTAAATTTCTTTTTTCAGGTATCCTTTGAATCTAAAATGCAACTTAGAAACAAACAAGATTTCCAGTTTTTTGATGATGATGAAGAAGAAACTGGAGAAAGCCACACCATCTTCATTGGTCCAGTAGAAAAGTGAGAGACTTCCTTTACATTTGCAGTGCTCTTAAGTTGCTTTTACTGTTTTATTATGTTTCAGTTGTATATATGTCTCTGTATAGATTTCTTTATTTGCTTGTTTCTTTATGTTGTTGTAGGTTGATAGTATATCCACCACCTCCAGCTAAAGGAGGAATCTCTGTTACTAATGAAGACCTGCACTGCTTAAATGAAGGAGAATTTTTAAATGATGTTATTATAGACTTTTATTTGAAGTAAGTTAATTTTTTATTAACCTTTTAGCAAATCTTTAGCATTTTGTCATTGTTTATCTTTATTTTCTACAGTCAAATTGTTTCAGTTTTAAATTTCATCACTACCATTTACTCTGTGACATTTGGGAAGTGATTTAATCTGTCTCTCTATGTCTGTATTATAAAAGGGTAATGTCTAAAAGAGTTGTGAGAATTAAATGAGATAATGTGTGCCTAGCCCTAGGAAAAATGCACAGCCACAGAGAAAGTGTCCATAAAGAGTAGCTTCTTATGTTGTACTGTTAAAGGTTTTAACCCTTTAGAAGTTTGCTCCTAAAAATAGAAAAACTGAGGCAAGAGGATTGCTTGAGCCCAAGACTTGAAGGTTGCTGTGAGCTGTTATGCCACAGCACTCTACCCGGGTGACACCTCAAGAGTCAGTCTCAAAAAGAAAGTTGCTCCTGCCCTATGTTGGGTGCATGTAGAGCAAGTGCAAAAATAAGAGTTCACTCATGTCCTTCAGTAAGTGTTCATGAAGTGCCGACCACGTACCAGGGACTGTATGAGGAGGAAACACAAATGTGAGATTAAAGAATGATAGAAGAAATGACATGGTACAGGCAGAGCAGGTGAAAGAATGTTTCATTCCCTTTGGGGGCTGGAAAATCTGCAGGACCAGGAAGCTTTTCTGGAAGAGCTTACGTGATGACTCAGTATAGTGTTGACACATGTATAAACTGGTATATGTTTACTGGTTTGTGGTATAAAATGGAGTATATGAAACAAATGGAACTTAGTATATCCAGTACTTTATAATATTTATAATATTTTCTAGTTTTTTGTTTTCCTTAAAAAAACAATTTTTTAAAGTATGTGTCAAACTCTGAATTGATTTTATAGCCTATTAATAGTTGCAGCCCACAATTTGGTGGGGAAAAACACATTCATTGTTATAAACAGTGAAATTTTGGGTTTGGCGCCCATAGCACAGTTGTTACAGTGCCAGCCACATGTACCAAGGCTGGTGAGTTCGAACTCAGCCTGGGCCACCTAAACAGCAAAGACAACTGCAACAAAAAAACAGCTGGGCATTGTGGCAGGTACCTCTAGTCCCAGCTACTTGGGAGGCTGAGGCAAGAGAATCACTTAAGCCTAAGAGTTTGAGGTTGCTGTGGGCTGTGATGCCACGCCATGGTACTCTCAAGGGTGACAAAGTGAGACTCTGTCTGGAAAAAAAAAAAAAAATCACAAAGGTATAGAACAGTGGTTCTCAACCTTCCTAAGACCTCCTAATGCCGTGACCCTTTACTACAGTTCCTCATGTTCTAGTGACCCCCAACCATAAAATTATTTTCATTGCTACTTCATAATTGTAATGTTGCTACTGTTATGAATCATAATGTAAATATCTCATATGCAGGATGTATTTTCATTGTTACAAAGGGGTTGAGAACCGCTGGTATAGAAGAACTCAACACCACCATCAATCAACAGGATCCACCCAACAAGGGGATAATACATTCTCTTCAGGACAACTCTGTCCTCTCTTCAAGGACACCATTTTTCCTTTTAATGATGGAATATGTTTCAGGGAGATAAAATGTGTCATATACTTTCTGATACAAGAAACTGCCCTAGATTTTAAATGCCTAATTTTTCAAGACCCCTTTGAAATCTAAATGATTTTTTGGGCTTGGTGCCTATAGCACAGTGGTTAGGGCGCGGACCACATACACTGAGGCCGTTGGGTTCAAATTCGGTTTGGGCCTGCTAAACAACAATGAGTACTGCAACAAAAAAAATAGCTGGGCATTGTGGCAGGCGCCTGTAGTCCCAGCTACTTGGGAGGCTGAGGCAAGAAAATCGCTTAAGCCCAAGGATTTGAGGTTGCTGTGAGCTGTTACATCATAGCGCTCTACCAAGGGCGACATAGTGAGACTCTGTCTAAAAATAAATAAATATCAGCTGAATCTATAGGAGTTGAACACCTATGTTTTTTTTAAATGTAGTGTAGTATGTTTAAATAATCTATACTATTTTATATTATAATATTTTGTAGTGACTTGTTTGTAATCCTGGAGGGCACTTCCTGTTTTAGTTACACCTTAAAATGAATTTCATATAATAAACTTAAAATACCTACAAGGTCTGCCTTCTCTGATACACATTCTGTATACCAAATGATAAAGGATACAAAATTCATGATTTAAACAATTGTATGTGAATTTAAAAGAGAAAACTTTTTTGTCAACTAATAGCCTTGCTCACATAAATTTTTCTTAACTTCCCTGTTAAAATGAGTAACTACTACCAGAGCTGTTCATTCTTGTCCATTTCTAGCTTTTACTATCATAATGGAAACAAACTGTTCAACAGATTTGCCAACATTGCAAGAAGTAGAAGGTAATTGCATCTGGAGAATGTTAATATGGTGAAGAAAAGGATTTTTTTTTTTTTTTGAGACAGAGCCTCAAGCTGTCCCCCTGGGTAGAGTGCCGTGGCATTACAGCTCACAGCAACCTCCAACTCCTGGGCTCAAG